GAATCAGCTGACAAACTGTTAGTGCTGGTACAAGATTTTGAAGAAGCAAAATTTTAAATACACAGCTGTGATGGCTCATTTTGATTGTTGATTTTATTGCCCTACAAAAAGTCTAGGACATTAGTGAGGCACAATTTTGGAACTGTAAGGGTCTCTATGAAGGGTTTCCAGAAAGGATTAACTGAGGGCAACACTACCCTATGGGCTGGGGTACCATACTGAAAGAATAGGACAAAAGAAGAGGCTGGAGTCACGGCTCTGACAAAGCACTCCCTCACTGAACAAGTGTGAGGACCCGAGTTCAGATCGTCAGCACTCACATAAATGTGGGTGGGCGCGGCAGCCTGCCTGTGATATCAGCCCCCAGCAAGCTAGCTAGCCAGACTAACTGGATGAGAAAACTCTGAGAAACTCTGCCTCAATATATAAGGTAGAAAATATCATACTCTGGTCTCACACACACAGGTGTGTGTGTGTGTGTGTGTGTGTGTGCATGCACACATATAAACATGTAGACACACATGCACACATACCACATACATAGACACATGTTTAAAAGAAGGAAGGAAGGAAGGGAGGAAGGGAGGGAGGAAGGAAGGAAAGAAAGAAAGAGAAAGAAAGGGAGGGAGGGAGGGAGTGAAAGCCAGCTGAGTCCAGGCATGTTCCTTTCTCAGTTTCTTGATCCAGGAAGGTGTAGTCTCTTCTCAGACATGATAGATTGTATCCCCTGAGACAAAATAACCTTTCCCCCCCTTAAGATTCTTCCTGTCAAGCCTTGGTCATGAGAAAAGTAATTCAATAACAGTTACATCCAGAGTTCGTGAAGATTTCCTTGTCAATGTAAGCAAAGGTCAAATATTACAATAGGAGATGGACAAAAAAAAAATGTGTTTAAGAACATCAGGAACTCTGGAGGCAGAAGCAGGCAGATCTCTGTGAGTTCAAGGCCAACCTGGTCTAATATAGTGAGTTCCAGGACACCCTGATGCTGTTTCAACATACACAATCATCATCATCATCAGCAGCAGCCAGAAGAAGGGCTGGAGAGAGCTCAATAGCTGAGAGTACACACTGCTCTTGCAGAGGACCCGAGTTTGGTTCCCAGCATCCCTGTCAGGAAGAACCCAACCACCTGTAGCTCCAGTTCCAGGAGACCTGATGCCCTCTTCTGGGCTCTATGGGCACTTGCATTCATGTGCACATACCCACACCCAGAGATACACAGTATACATAATTTTAAAAATAAATCTTTAAGCATTCTTTTAATAATGAATAATGTCTGTCACTACAGAGTGTTTATGTAAATGATGGTGCATCTATTGTGCAAGAGTGCAAGTAAAAGGAATGGGATGAATCTGTTTCCCATATAAAAAGCTCCCCAAGGCTTTTCAGTTTAAAAAAAAAAAAAAAGGTGATTTGCAACACTAATGTCTAATTTGAGTCATTGAATCATTGAACTATGCATGTTGGCAAGCTGTACAATGAGGTCTTCAGTGGAAGAGAGCAGGAAGGAGGAAGACTTTGGCTTTGATTTTATTGCTTGATTTTCTTACAACAAGAATATATTCAAGAAAGGAGGTAGATATCTGTACACAAATGTTCACAGCTGCATTGGTCACAATAGGTAAAAAATGGAAACAACCTGAATGTCCATCAACAGATGAATGGATAAATACAACGGGTCTATACAATGGAAAATTATTCAGCCACAAAATGGAATGAAGTCCTGATTCATGCCACAACATGGATGAATCTCAAAAACATTATGCTAATGATAAAAGCCAGACACAAAAGGACAAACACTGTATGATCTTACTTCTGAGGGACCTGGAGAAAAAACAGAAGGCAGCCTGCTATTTGTCAGGGGCAGAGGGGTGAGGATTGGTGCACAATAAAGTATGTCAGTCTGGAATGGTAACAAAGTTCCGGAGATGCATGGTGACAGCCAGACAGCCATGTGACTTCATGCTAATGAACCAGACAGTTAACATATTTTTAAAGTATATTTTATGTTATGTGGAGTTTACTATAATTAAAAAAAAAAGCTAAGTTTAAAAAAAAAACGACAATGGTCAAACAATAATAACTAAAGCACACAGAGCTAACATTGAAGGGTCTCCTTTTAGTGAAATACACATCATCCAAAATGTGAATATATAGCCAGGCCTATAATAAAGAGTAATGAAGGCAAAGGACAGAAGCAAAGACAGAAGTTCACTGGAAAGGAAGACAACAGCTTCACAGAGCAGACCCAGGATCCTGGACTCCCATGGATGGAGGCTCCCAGGCTAAGGGCTGAGTACAAACTGACAACACCAGGCTTGACCCGAGTCTGTGGATGGTGAGGAGCTAAAGTATATCCTTGAAGGGATGTGACATCCATAAAGAAAAATTCACACATGAGCACACACACCCAAATACACACACATACATACAAACACATATATACACAATGCACACATATACACAAATACTTAGATACACACACATATATACAATACACACATACACACAAATATGCATAAAATACATATACATACAACACTTACATATATACACATATATGTACACAATATAAACATACACACAAACACATACATGTATACATAAACATATACATACAAACTCACATACACATACCCACATACTCAGACACTATTCCTTTAGGGCAGCAGCAAAAAAAAAAAAAAAAAAAAACCATTCACAGTGAGAAAGAAAAAGCCACACATGAGTAATTAACACCTTAAGGCTGTGCCACTTATGGGTGTGGGGTCTAAATTTATACCACCCATGGGGAATAGAAACTGTGAACCACAAATTTAGCATAAAAATATTCAAGGTGAATGAAACTCTCCAGTTTGGAGAGAGAAAAACAAGACCAGCTAGGCACGATGGCATATGCCTTTAATCCCAGCACTCAGGGGGCAGAGGCAGGAGGATCTCTGTGAGTTTGAGATAGCCTAGTCTACAGAGTAGTCACAAGAGAGCAAGAACCACATAGAGAGACCCTGTCTTAAAAAAGAGAAGGAGGAGGAGGGGAAGGGAAGGAAGGAAAGAAGGAAGGAAGAAAGAAAGAAAGAAAGAAAGAAAGAAAGAAAGAAAGGAAGGAAGGAAGGAAGGAAGAAAGGAAGGAAGGAAGAAGGAAGGAAAAGGGAGAGCAAAACCAGTCTCGCTAGGAACATGAAGAAACCCACAGGACAACTCAGTGTCTATAATGTGCTCACAATTTAAAAACAAAAAAGAAGTATAGCTCAGGAGCATGTGCACACAGGTACACTCTCCCCAGAGTCAGTACCCTCAAGGTCTGGACATTAGAGGGCCAAGAAGGACCTGTGTGGCATCACAGAAACGGTGATGGACAGAAAAGTCAGAATACAAAAGACAATTCAAGGGGCAGAGGAAGGTCAACTGCATTAAGGAGTTGCAGAGCATGAGGAATCTTTTAGTCATGCAGACAGTGCTGCCAACAAAAGGAGTCTGGAGCTCCTGAGAGGTCTTAGCTGGGCATAAGGTAATCAGCCAGGAATTACCATGAAAGGGGTCCCAGGGATGTGGTGTGAGTGGAAGGATAGAAAGCTTGAAGCTGGCAGGCGCATAATGATGAAGTACAAGATTGTTCACTCCATCATTATAATGACCCGAGTGCATTTTTGCAAGTATTACCTCATAATCCTCACACCCTTATTACTCTACTCCCACACTGCAGCTGAAGAAACCAGACTCAGAGAGATACTGGGATGTGGCAGGACTGAGGCTCCTGCCCAGACCTTATACTTTGGAGGCTCTGCCTAACCTATGAACCTCCCTTCTGCTTCCTTCTCCTTTTGACTCCTCCCCACCACCACCATACCACCCTCACAGTTCACACTGCCTCTCCCTAACCCCTATGAGCTCACACTGGGTCTGAGTCACACAAGCCTTAGCAGACAGGTAGGGGTGGGCGGAACTGAGGAGGGAAGGCTAACTGAGTGGTGAGTACTGGGTTTGTCTTTTTTGTGACTACCAAGCAAGGTTGGAGAGGTGAATCCAGAATATGTGACCCATTCTGGATTCTTTCTGAGCATCTGGGGTGAAGCAAAGAGCAGAATGGGGATCCATTTGCGGAAAAAAAAATACACAGTGGGGCACTGTCTCTCAGACCAAGCCTTTAAAAGGTCCCTAGATAACTGCCTCATTCAAAGAAGGATCCAATCTTCAACTGGCCCCTAAGGCCAATTTAAAGATGTTGTCCCAGCCTAGAAGGATCTCAAATAAGACCCAGGCCCAGCTTCTCATAGCTTCTTCCTTCATAAAATGAAAAGGATAGTTTGAGACTAACCATCTCTCAGGATAGGTACTTCTGCACGAGACAAGCTCTAGCCCAAAGTAGAAGAGATGAGATAAGAAAAGGCGTGAACGCTGGGGCAAGATGGCCACTTTCTTGGGCTGGGCCAACACCTCCTTCTTCAGACAGCTCCTGATAGGATGTCTGTGGCTACTTAGCAACTCTGGCTTGCCCAGACGTAAACTGTCAAGTGTCAAGGCCAAGAAGAGATTGGAAAAGTGAAATGAATGCTAGGGATTGGGTGTATTTGTTCCCAAAGATTCATAAGCTGGGAGCTTAGTCCCCAGTATAAATAGCATGGAGACAGCAGAACATCTTAAAGATGGAGTTTGGTAGGAGCTGATTGGGCTGTGGCTGCCTTGAGAAGGGATCCGTGCAGGTCTTGTGTGTGGCTTAGTTCCTGGGAGCTTATTTTATCTAAATGTTCTCAACCTGATAGACCTAGAACGCTAACAGTTCAACCTAGATTGCCCTTGATTACCCATGGTTCCTCAGTGCCACTCTATGAACAAAGGAAGTATCCTGTTGAAGTGCCCTGGAGTTGTTTTGCCCTAGGCAGCCCCAGAGATGCCCCCACCCAGAGAGTCCTATAGGTCCCAGGCACAATGGGCAGCCTCCATCCCCACCCTGTAACACATACATGCACAGGCAGGTCTTGGGGGAGGCACAGGCTTACCTTGATGCTCATCCAGCTTTCCCATGGTCTCAATCTGCTCCACCAGGTCATTGGAACTCCACTGGCTCATTCCAATAAGGATGGCATTCTTACCTTCAGCCACCTCCTCTGAGGGAAGGGAAGAGATGGGTATTAGCAGACAGGGATGGGTAGGGGAGGCCCTAACCAGAGCTGGTGTCGGGGGGGGGGCGGGTACTCATTTCACCCATAAGTTGAAATAGACTTGAACATTTTCTTTTGCAGTGCTAGAGATAAAACCTGGGGACTTGCACATGCCAGACAAGGGCTCTATCACTGAGCTTCGTCCAACACCAAAGACTTTGACTACTGAAAGTATCTTCACCTATAGGACTAACCCATTGAGGATTTTGTCCTCGAAACCATGCCTTGATGCTGTGACTCACCAGGGTCCTATGTGCTATAGCAAAAGAAAGTGACAGTGAGGTAGTCATCCACTCCTAGCATGGAGACTAACATTTCTTAGAAAGAAAGGACCAAAAACTCATGATTTGCCCATAGTGTTTCTTCAGGAATGTGATTGGACTTCTGTGAACCTCCATTTTCCCATCAGTAAAATGAAACAGGTGGTGTCGAACTCACAGGGTTCTGGGAAGGATCAGAAGAGGTGAAGGGTTTCAGAGCCTCAGTGCACAGAGGGGGCCCAGAGATAAGAGCCACTATGCTCATGTCTTCTCCTGACAAATCACTGGAGGGCTGCTGGAGCAGCTGTGAGGTAAGGGTAGGGAAAGAGTTCTGGCTCTAAGCTGTATGAAATGTATGCTTCCAGCTCAGCTGCAGGAACCCTTTAATGTCTCCATTCCCTGCTCAACTCCCTGTAGCCCTGTCTCTGCCCTTAATGATTATTCTGGGAAGAAGCTGGGGGGCTGTATCCCCTATCGACACCATACACAAGTCCTGGGTCCCCCACCACATGTGTGACACAGTCCCTCATCATGGAAAGGAACATTTGTATAAGAGCACACCTGTGGGAACAGACATGCTTCTCACTGCCAGCACCCACCCTAAGATGAGCCCTTGTGGTAAAGAGCTTTGTGCCTTCCTTCACATCACACACATAAAGTATGTTGAGGAGAATCCCCAAGCTCTGGATGATGAAAAATAAAAGCTGATATCTGCCTTTCTGGCAGAGGGTTTCTCCAGCAAACAACATGGTGGACCGAAAGGTTTTGGGAGCTGTCCAGCGTTCTGACTCACACTAGTACTCAGTAAACCAGATCTCATCTCTGAAAAATGCCTCCTGCCTTACTGTGTTACTTATTTGATTTAACAGTCCTTATGAAACTTTTACTAATGGTATGGGTATACATGATTTACAAATATTAATTCATAAGCTAAAAGTGGTGGTGCATTCTGCAATCCCAGCACTCAGAAGGTGAAGGCAGGATATCAGAAGTTCAAGGCAGCTTTGGTTACATAGTGAATTCAAGCCCAGGCTGAACTACATAAGACCCTCTCTCAAACCACACCAAGCAAAAACAAAAAGGAAACATTAAATTATCATTTTAAAAAATTGAACTAATAACGGAGTTAGAAACGGCTCTGTCAATAACATCCTGCTACACAAGCATGAAGACTTGAGTTCAGATTACCAGAACCTACAAAAAAAAAAAAAAAAAAAAAAGGCATCACATGCTTGTAACCCAAGTGTTAGAAATTGTGGGGCAGAGACAGGTGGATCCTGAAGCTGCTTGACCAGACAGCCTTGCCAAATAGAGTTTCAGACCCTGCCTCAAAACGTAAAGAGGGAGAGTCATCAAAAAAGGCACCCGACATCAACCTCTGGTTTCCACATCTCACACACACAGGAACAAACCCACAGTCATGAGTATATGGGCCCCTACAAACACAACATCTCACACACAACAGCAGCAACAGGGGACAATGATTCCTAGCTTTATTTTTTAAACAAGAAAATTGAAAAAAAAAAAAAAAAACAGAAGTTGAATAATCCTTGCTCAAGATTTCTGCCTAGCA